AGTGTGCAACATGTTGGGCGTGAAAATCGGGAGCTCGCGTGTTGTGGGTTTTCGAGTGTCAAGTTCTCCTGTTTGCGCATGATGAGGGCTGCGGGTCTTTCTGAGAGCAGAGGGCACACTGTTCGGTCAGTCATGTGTATGCGGTAGGGCTTTGCGTCCAGCATCTGTTTTCCGTCATGTGCATGCTGCAGAGCTGAGGGCTGTCTGAAAGCGGGGAGCACTAGGCCTGTCAGTCATGTTCGTGGTGTTAGACTGTGTCTTATTCTGAGAGCAGGATGGGTGCAGTCAGGTGCAAGGATCGCCTTGCGACGATTGATGTGATCGGCTGCATGCGAAGAGCAAGGGCTCAGGCATGGGTCGGTTGTGGCCGCAGGGCGCAATCGTTCCGGTTGCATCATGGGTACCATGAGATGTGTCATGTGAGCAGGGTAGCATTTCAGGTGTTTCATGTTTCGTCTGCGGAGCTCAGGTATGCATAATCCAGGTACGTGCCTAGCCCTTGGTAGTCGAGTGCGGTCGCCATGGCGTCTATGATTGATAGTGAAGCTTTCTTTGCCTCTCGATGCGAGAGGGCTGGACTGTCAGGGCAGGTCGTCAAGAAGTTGAAATCTCTGGGATGGTCAACTTATGCAACTTTTGCCTGTAGTGTTCTTGACCAGAATGACGAGAAATCCTGGATCGACAAGGTTATCCAGCCTGTGCTCGGTGATGATCGGAGCGACGCGGCTCGGCTTCGCAGGATGTTCCTAGAAGCATACACTCATACTGCAGCTGACTTGAAGCGTCAGACAGAGCTCACAGAGCAGGACGCTCCCCGCAGATTGCCGCCTCAGGAGCTGGATTCTCGCCTAGCCTTGCTGCAGGAGAAAATCCTGCCGCTTAAGATCCAGGGCCGTTTAGAGCCCTCGCATCACCTCATCAACACTGTGTGCCAAATGGTGGATGATCAACGCATCCGCTACGTGCCTTGGTCGGCCTGCACGACGCGAGCGCAGGAAATCAATAGCGTTCGCGAGGTTGCATCTATGAAAGTTTGGCAGCCTGATAAGAGCGGTGTTATAAAGCAGGTGACGCAAGGTCCAGACATCCAGGCCTCGACGTGCAACGAGCTTGATGTCATGCAGGCGCTTCGAAGGCGGGGCGTTGCTTACGCCGTGGGGCAGCTCATGTCGTTTGCCAGCCACGAGCTTGTTATATCCATGTTGTTCGATGAGTTGCAACGCGAGCCTCAGCCTGGGTTCCATGCTGTTTCGTTGGGGCAAATCGCTCAGGCGGACCGGGAGATACATGTGAGGCTTGGGGAGCTGACTCGAGGGGGTCTTTCCCTGGGGCCAGGCGGCGAGTTGCCGCTGGATCTTCCGCTGCGTGAGGTTCTTAAGTCCCCGGCGGTCATGTGGCTGTTGATGCCTAAGCTGAAGCAGGGAGCGAACCCTTCGACTTCGTCAGTCGAGGTGCCTCCCACAGGTGAGCCGCCAAAGAAAAAGAAGAAAAAGAAGAAGACGGATAAGAAGCAGAACGACGACGACCCAGAGGGGGAGTCGCC